GGGGGGGGGGGGGGGGGGGGGGCAGAAAGGTGGAAATTTGAAATCTGAAAACTGAAACCAATCTAAGGAAATGTGCTTGACTTTTAATGTTTGAGTGATGACCGAAAGAACAAGATCAGCGATGTAAGCGGTTGAAATCAGGGTAGCTGGCCTCTCCATTATTGGGTGAGAGGTTGTTATCCAGGAGAGACTCGGAGTAGAACAGCTGCTCCTCCACATCAAGAGGAGCAGCTGAGGTGGTTCAGGCATCTGGTAAGGATGCTTCCTGGGCACCTCCCTAGGGAGGTTAAAAGTATTTTTTTTTTAAATAAAATGCTGGCTTCAGAGGAAACCTACCAATGTTTCCCCTACAAAGTTCAAGTTGTGTTTATTTGTCATATCCAAGGTTAACACAAGGTCACCAGTATAAAGAAATGCTTAGGATGTGAAGAACCAATTTGATTCGCTAAAAAAAAATCAAAGAACAAACAAACAAGAAAGCATGCGATAAGGGCACAAAAATAAAGTACCAAAAAGTGAAAAAGTAATTATAATATTTACAAGGTCCAAAAGAGAGATAGTGAACAACAACATGGTAGAATATAATGGTGCAAACAGGATGAATTTAAATGAACAAGTATTTCAAGGTAGTAATATAAGCTAAAATGCACACAACTAACATACTATACAGGTTGTGTGACAGGTTATTGCACACTGCACAGGTGGTGAGTGACATTGAGATTGAATTATGATGGTATCATACATGATACAGCCACATAGTGCAGCAGCAATAAACAATAAACATATTAGCTGTCACAAGCTAATATTAGTCATATTAGTTGTAACAGATGTGGCTTGGTCCAATGTTATTGTCAGTTGTTCAGTGTTATTTATCGAGAGTTTATTAATCTGACAGCTTGTGGATAATAACTGTCCTTTAGTCTTTTTGTGCGTGATGACAGACTCCTGTATCGTCTGTCTGAGGGTAATAGATGGAAGAATCCTTGTGCTGGGTGGGTGTGATCCTTAATGATGCTGCATACTTTACGCAGACATCGGCTGTGGTAGATGTCCTGGATGGTGTGGAGACTGTTGCCAGTGATGTCCTCTGTTGCATCACCCTCTGTAGTTCTTTCCATCTCTGACTGGTGCAGTGCATGTACCACCCTGTGATGCAGCCTGTCAGCAGGCTCTCAGTGGTGCACCAATAAAAGTTGGTGAGGATGCTGGTAAACCATTATACAAGCTAACCCTATCCCATCCCATCAACAAAACCGAGCACCCCACCTACCGAACAAAACTGAAAGCACCCCCCACCACCACCACCACCACCCCCCATTGGCAAATACACAGCGCTAAGCTAGCGGCACGCAATACAGGCGAGCTAGCTAAAAAGCTAAAGGCAGCGCTCATTCTGCTTCTACCTTCATGCTGAACCCCCAAACGTCAGTACAAACAGCGCACAGCTCAGTTGTGTCTTTGTCCCCCCCACCCCCGTCGACAAAAATCACGGATGAGTGCACTGCCACCTACTATAGTCTGCCTTGTCAACATTTTAAACTCATTCTGTTCAACATGGGGGCTGAGATGGTGTAGAGGCAGGGCAGCCGGCTTGGGACCCAAAAGTCCCAGGTTCGATCCCCAGTCACTGCACATCACATGGCGTCTCTGGGCAGCACGTCTCATCCCCAAAATGCCCCCCGGGCGCTTTCAATAGCTGCCCACTGCACCACCTGGTGGTGGATGGGTTAAATGCAGAGACTAATTTCGCCATTGTATGGAAACATACAGTGCTGACATTGTGATGACATTATTATTATTATTAATAAGAAAAGCTAAAGAACGAGACAAATGCTTGAAAAAAAAAAAAAAAAGACTACAACTTGTAGCTATTTTTTTTCTCTTGCCATTTCTGTGTACCTTATCGTGTACCATAAACTGCTGCTGTAATCTCAAAAACTTTAATTTTTGGTTTAAAAATGTAAGAAAAATGCAAGGTATTTTGGAACCAAAAAAAACCATAAAAATGAGGGTCCAGGGTGATAGCAGTACAGTTTGACACTTAAAGATTAGCACAGGACAAATTCACCTAAAGAAACTGGTCCAGATGACATGATTTAATCTTATTTGTTGTGATCTACCTGGATGATTGAGCTTAAAACATTTTTTCTGAACTACTTTGGCCTTGGTTGTCCTCAGGCTGTTTCTGTGAGTAGCAAGTGGGCCCTCTGGTCTAAAACATTTGATTGTTGTACATGACGATTGATTGTTGCAAATGTTAAAAGTCTACTTCTGAGATTCCAACAGGAAGTTTGCTTGAAACACAGCAGTGAAGGCTACCTATGGGACAAATCTGGTTGGCAGGCCGTAGACTGAGGAAGTCCTCTGGATGGGGGACAAAATATTTTTCACAAAGAAACTGGTCCAGATGACATGATTTGATCCTTTTTGTTGTTAGGAAATGTTTGTGCAATTAAAAGGTAAAATTGACCAATAAGGACGGAACATGCAATCATGTTCAATAATAAATTTGTTGAAAATATTCCTCTGTCTGTTAGGGACATTATTATAGATTATAAAAGGAAAGGCTCTTCTTGATGGCCAAGTGGCCTCAGAGCCGTAGGCTGCAGACCTCTACTCTAGGCGCTAACAAATTATGAAAGGTGTTGTAATACCGCATAAGACACAACGATATGATGACATAATGATATGATGATGACATGGTTTGATGAAAACTGTTATAACTCCATCATTTTTAATGTCTGATTACCTTAGTCTAAAACTGTCATAAAAGACGATGGGTGAAATGCCTTCCTTCAAGGAATACAAGGCCTTTCTTTGGCTTACGTCATTATTTTTAGTTTTCTACACCGCCTTATAATCTAGCTGGTTTTTTTGCTCCTTTTTTTCATTTTGACTGTCCTTTTGGTTGCCATTTTATTTTAATTTGTAAAAACAAAATCTGTATCCAATGTTGTCATCATTCTTTGTTAAATCAGGTCTCTCTTGTAAATGAGGCCCCGAGGCTCAATGGGATTAACCTGTCTAAATAAAGGTTGAATGAAATATGTTTTAGATATTTGTACACATGTGAATTGTATCTTGCAATGTAAAGTGCAAAAACTTTATATGTACAATTACATTTTAAAAATTTCTGGCATGATAAACCTTGAGCTTACAGTAAGTCATCATTTTGCTTTTGTCATGAAAAATAAGCTCCAATATCATCATCCCTTTAACTGACTCTGAACAGTCTGCATGCTTTTTACTTTAACTGATCCTCTGACATCGACTGATCATTTGATGAACATTTAGAAATCTTTTCACAAAGTCTATTGCTTTTCTTCTCCTGGAGGCCTTCTCAACACCAAATTTAAGAATGTTTGTTCAATAAGAAACAAACAAATTATGTTCACGGGCCTTTCCAGTTTCACTGTTTTGCTTAGTTTTTTTTTGCAACCGTTTTCAACTTGAAGTTCCAATTAATCGATTCATGCACAATTCTTCTAGTTCGTTTTAAACAGTCAACACAAACAATCTGTGACTGTATAACCATCTAAATGCAACCCAGTCTTCAGCTGTGTGTCTATTTAAGGTAACTTGCAGTAATCTTCCAGCTGTCTTTGTGACTTTGCAGAGCGTTGCCCTGCTGATACAACCAAGCACAACTCCTCCCTTCCTTCTCTATTTGAGATGATACTACTGTGTCTTTTTCTCTGTTGCAGCTGAAAAAGACACTTCCTTCTCTACCGACTAAGACTACCTGACAGGGATAATGTACGTTCTCATCAACGCCAGCAGCCTTTGTCCTCTACGGCCTCATGCCAGCACCAAACCAGCAATCGCCCATGTAATGAAAGGCCACTGCTTCCTGCAGCTAAAAGCAGTGGAAAACAAGAGGCATGGGGGGGGGGGATGGGGGGGGGGGGTTTGTGGTGATGGGGCGGGGGTGTTATGAGTTTAATAGTGGATTGCAGGTCGGTTATCAGGACTCTGCAGTCGACACTTTATTCGTTAATAGAAAGCTGCACAGTGTTTTAAATCAGACGCCTTCACCTTTTTAACGTCTTGTCAGGAGAATGCACACATCTATTCCTGTTTAATAGCTTTCGCTGTACATTAAACCAGCTAAGACACACATGTAAACAAATTAAATCGTACACACCCCATTGCATTGATTATAGAGCTGGCTCACCTTGTCCCTGAACACCTCAGGGTTGCTGTACATGAAGTCCCGGTAACTCTCGGTCCGCACTTTATCCTGCACAAAGAATAACACACACCTCAGATTTATTTATTTTTAACAGAGAACAGAAAATCAGTGAAACTGTGGGGGATTTTCTGGAAATTTTATATCTAATTAAAAGATAGCTAGCGAAATTGTATTCCCTGTGAAAATTCAGTGTGAATGCTTGTTGCTGAAGAACTTGCTGAAAAACAGCTGAAATTAGCTAAAAACATGCTGAAATGTAGATGAAATAAAAGAACACGCCCAAGTTAAAAAAGCAGAAAGAACACATATTAGCTGAATTCAATTTAAATAACGGTAAGCATAAATCAGCATAAAAATGAGGAAATTTGTTTAATAAAGCTGAAATTAGACAAATATAGCTGAAAGGGAAGAAAGAAGCTTAAACTGCCAGAAGGGAAAGGAAGGAGTTGTAAAGAGCTAAAAAAAATGATTAAAAAAAACATGGAATTAGCTAGAAAAGCTAAATTTAGCGTAAAACAGCTAAATAGTTGCTGAAATAATAAAAAAAGCTGAAATTAGCAAAAAGAAAAAGTAGCAGAAATTACCAAAAAAAACCTTGAATTTATCTGAAAACAGCTGAAATTACCGGTAGCTAAAAATGCTAAAAAGCTCGTTGAAAAGGTTGAACAAGCTTAAATTTGCATAAGAAAGCAGAAAGAACACGGGTTTGGCTGAAAGAAAGACACGAGCACAAAAAAAGCAGAAATTATCAACAACAACAAAAAAACGCTGAAATTAGAAAAAAAAAACAGAAAGAAGCTTAAATTACCAGAAGGAGGAAGCAGGAGCACATTTTAGCTGAAATTAGATTGGAAAAAGTTGAAATAAGAGGAAAAAAAAGTGGAATTGTCTGAAAAGGCTAAAATTAGTATAAAACAGCTAAATAGTAGCTGAAACAGCAGAAAAAGCTGAAACTTGCAGAAATCATCTGAACGGAGCATAACAAGCTGAAATTATCAGAAAGAAGTTAGAAAAAGCACAAAAATGTTGTGGTTAGCAGAAAGATCCTGAAAGGAGCACAAAACAGCTGAAAAAAAAAAAACCTGCTGAAAGTAGCTGAAAAAAGGTTAAATTTGCACAAGGAAGCTGAAAGAAGCTGAACCAGAACAAAATGTGACAGGAGCAGTAAAAGGTTGTCAACACATCTAAACATTAGAAGGATGTAAAATGAGCTCAATTCATTTTCTATGAGGAAAAAAAAATGGCAGAAAAGGCTAAATATTTAAAAAAAGCTAAAGTTGCACCAATACCAAAACTCATATCACCCTTTTCCTGAACGAGCTGAACGTTTTGATTTATGATTTGTTGAACTGGCACAAAAATTGTGGAATGAGAAAGATGCTGAAAAACGTATGGAAGACAAATGGATCACAACAGAGTGAACGCTTCATGAACGTTCACAAAGTTACAACTGGAAGGAAATCTGATCTCTTTCAAACGTTTGTCAAATCAGACCTCATAAATAAACGTGTTGTGCTCTCAGACAACAGTTACTGTACGTGTATCTACAACTATTTAACTTTTGGAGTGACCTGTTAAAATGGCTGCCGCATCCAACCGACCATAGGAAGAAGTAGCTCCAACCCAGCCAGTGTTTCACATTTTGGGGTAAAATGTGGTGTGTTGGTAGCTGAGCGTCATCCCTAACACAAACTCTGAGCGCTAACCCATCCAACCAGATATGTCAAAAATGTAGCATTTCTTGCTAGTCCACTGTGTATGCCTGTTAGCAAAATGGCTCCTGAACCGCTGAACGATTTTAATGAAACTCTCAGAAAGCAATCACTGGGTGGACACGTACAACTTATTCAACCCAGTTCAAGATGGCTACAGCCAACTGGTCTTGGGGAACACAGAAATGGGCATTACTCAGCCAAATGTAGAGACACTGAGACACTGTTGGTGTGGTAGTAGCTGAGAGTCATCCTCAATCCGTTCTCTGAGCACTATCACATCTCACAAGGTGTCACAAAACATCGATCCGTGTCTCATCTATTAGACGATTTCACGTCCAGTCCCTGGCATTAAGCATTTAATTCATGGCGTTAGCAAGAATGCAAATAATGAAATTCATTTGTTTTTTAACACTAATGTAAAATTACTAATTTGGCTCACAATTTATTTGGCCAAAAATGACAATTGAACATCTACAAAGTATTTATTGTACAAACACCCCACCAAGAACATATGACTTCAAGAGAACCTTGATGAAATGTGAACAGTTCTGTCACGGCAGTGAGTAAACTTTAAAAAAAAAAAAGAAGCCATCTCTCTCACATATCGACTGCGTCACTGGTGATGCGGTTGACTTCAACCAAAGAAAGACTTGACCACGGTTTAGCGCAAAGCCTCCGTCACCTGCTCTCGGCTCTGCGTGAGGCTCACGTGAAGTTTTCAGACTGACGCACACGAAACGCAAAACTTCCCAGCGCTTCGCACCAATCAGGATTATGTCTGAGCACTGCAGTAAGTGGAAAAGTGCCGCGGAGAGAAAGAGAGAGCTAACCCCATCTCTGTCTCACACACACACACCTCCTGCTCAGTGTGTGACACTTTTAAAGTCCCTGCGCTTTAAGGTGTAGAAATTAATTCCCACGTTCTGTGGAAAGTGCAAAGTTTCACGTGAGAGCTACGGACTTATTGCTGATTCGTCACTTTGGAGACGATGACGTGCGCTCGTTATGAACGTGTGAATAAAGATGATCCTTAACACGCCGCCCTGAGACCTCACACTGATGAGCTCACCCTCACTTTGAATAATTGTTTCGAATGGTCAGTGTGAGTGCGTGTGTGTTTGTGCGACTCAGACCTTCAGCATCTCCTCGTGGATGCCGTGATGGCCGTAGGAGCTGAAGTAGGCCTCGTCTTCGTCCTCCCGGAGCTCGGCCACTGGGCCCAGGTTCCCAGACTTACTGGTGTCTGCGTTCAGCACCAAACCCTGAGCCAGGAGCCTGAGAGAAAGGCAGGCGGATCTGCAATTAACGCCCCATGTCAGGACACGGGACGAAAGCAGTGACCAGAAAGGGGAAAGCAGACACAGCTCTCGTGCAGGACAGAGCAGTAAATGGAGGAGATGAAAGGCATTCATCTTTCCAACCCCTCCCATCTGCGCTCTTTCTGTAATTTTCCCCTTTTCTCTCCTTACCTCCCATCCTCACTTTAGTTTCTCTGCTGCAGTGGAATCCCCCCCCCCCCCCCCCCCAATACTCCCCCTTCCCTTCAAACTTCCACCACAAGGTAGTCGAGTTCCTGCTTCTGTGATGCAGGGATCACTGTGGCCCCCTGCTGGTCAACATGAAGTACTGTCAAAGCAACGCCACTAACTACAAAGCAAGTTCTGGAAAGATTCAGGAAAAAAAAAATCACATCCTAAATAAAATACGAACAGACCCAAATAAAACAGTACAGACTTGAGTTTGTGTAGATCCTCCATGGCTCGGGCCAGTGCCTCCTCTGAAGATCGAGCTCTCTCCTCAGCAGTCTGCGCCCGCCGCAGCAGAGCGTCACGAGACTCCGGCGTGGACGACGAGCGGGTGGATGAACACGGGTCATCCCTGCTGCAGAGCTCCTCCGGGTCTGACAGAAAACACAAAGGGTGGAGAGCAACATGGACACTGATTTATTTACATCCTAAATGGCTGCAGAACAGATTGTTTTAAACCTGTGAACTGGAAAGAAGCTGGCATTTGTGATATTAATTTAGTAGATTTTTGTTGTGCATTCAGAATTTTTTAAGAACTTATAGAACAAAAACTTTATTGTAATATCCACAACTTGTTCAAAGCTTCTATAAAACACAGAAAATAATGAGGTTAGTAATCAGTGCTGTGATGCATTTATGTTTTTATTAATTGACAAGAATCTCACATAAGGAGCACAAATATAAATGTAAACAAAGATCAGTGCTATGGTAGCATGAACATCAGTCAATGCATGTTCACAAGCCGATATAAACATTTCTAATTTTCAGCCCTAAAACGCTGGGAACCAGGCAAAATTGTACAATTTATCCAGCAGAGAACATGCAGACTATTTTCAAGTCACGGTCGTTCACTTAAGTTTCACTTTCAGCACAGCCGAAGCAGCGAGCAGTACAGTGTGGAGTATTTTACTGAACAGAGCATGGGGTTTATTTTAACTGATCTGTAAAATAAATCAATAATAAATTATCTTCAATCCTCCAACCCGCTTGTCATTAGCTACATACCTCTCAAGTTAGCAAGCTAACGTTTAGATAACCTAGCATAGACTATTGCTTTGTACAACTTTATCCAGAACAATAAAACGTAAGAGATAAAATATCTCTGTGTTAGTAACGTTATCTTTGTCATACTCAATGAAATTTGTTGTTTGACTGAAATTTTTACTCTGCAAAGAAAAATAAACTCTGCTGTGGTCAGTACTAATTAGATCTCCACCAAACGTGACTGACTGTTTAAACAATGAACAGAGAAGGTGGTTCTTTGTTGAATTTATATTTTTGTAACACATTTGATAACTTTATGGTGAATAGTGGAGGATAGAAAATATGAATGCACGTTAGAAAGGCTGTTTCAAGACTTCAAGTGTTAAAACAGGTTTTAAAGTAGCTGCTTAATCAGATTCTTGGGGGCGGACAAAGCTCAAACATTTCCATGCAACGTATCAGTTATTGGCATTAGCCCTCCCAATACTGGTATCGGCAACAGCCAAAATTTCCACATCGGTTGAGCTCTAATATCTAAAGTGCAAACACCAAAATATGGAAATCAAGAGAGTAAACAAATTAGTGTCTTTGTTGTGGAAATTGTAGGAAAAAAGGAGTTGCAGAAAGAAGTTTGTTTGTTTTTCAAACTAATAGTTAGAGGTTCATGTAGACTTTATGATCAGAGTACAAGTGGACAGCTCTGAAAGGGTCATCTTACACAAACATTATTGGACTAATAGAAATATAACCAATAAGAGCACTTCTTGTTGAATTACCACTTTAAAGTGACATTTCTGGTTCAGTTTTTCTCGACTTCTCTCTGTTTTTTTTTATTTTTATAAATGTCTCAGCTCTGAATGATCACAGTAAACAATAAAGTGTGGCTCCTGGAACATAAACGATAGACTAAGCGCGTCTTGTTCACTGTTGATGACACAATAACACAAAGAGGGAGCTGGAGTTTGTGAAGAATACACTGGCACTTTGTCTTACTGGATGTTTTGTTTATTTCGATCAGTTCCCTGTCCGTGCAGTTATATGATACTGGGCCTGAACAGAAACAGATGAGTTCATCCAAGCAGATTAGGGGATACAGGCGTGGCAGACCGAATCTGTTGTGTGTAACTTTGAGTATCTTTAAGTGTTTCTGTTAGAAGATAAAAGTAGAAAGAACTGTCACTGACAGATTTTCACCTTTAACAAAAACTTTTTTCTTAATTTACTGACAAATTTCTAGATACAAACAACAGCAACATTCTGAATTCACAATTATTACTTTTATTGTAAATAAACTATGTAGTGCTCTCAAGAAAATGTTATTACCGTAATTTCCGGACTATAAGCCACTACCTTTTTCACAAGCTTTGAAAACTGCGGATTATTCAATGCTGCCGTTAATTTATGGATTTTTATTTTATTTATTTTTTTGACAGGCTAACGAACTTCATGCAGGGCACAGGAGGAAAATGAAGATAGTCATCAATGACTTCCTGTTAGGCTACTGTTTCTTTTTTTTAACCAGCTGTGTCACAGGCACTGTTCAGAAAAAACATTTACTATATGTATTTGTGTATATTATCAGTACATATTTAATTTAAAGTTTAAAAAATCTTTCTGTGTAAATATCTCATGTTACAACATGGACACCCATGGCTTATAGACAAGCATGCCCTACTGTATATATGTACTTTTTTTATTTATATATATATATATATATATATATATATATATATATATATATATATATATATAGGTGCGGCTTATATTCAAGTGCGCTCCATAGTCTGGAAATTACAGTATTTTAAGTATGTGACTTGTTTTGTCTTGACAGCCATTCTGACTTTGAGTTATTTTGATGTAAAAACAAGTCAACATCATGTAAAGGCTTGTTATGAGAGATCTAGATTAAAGTAAAATAATCTACTGAGATATGTGATTATATTATATATAAGATTTTCTATATTAAACTACTGAGTTACAGACGTGACCGTCATATTCACTTATTTTAAACAAGTTTTCTGCTCAGTTTGAGCATGTTTTTACAAACATACTAAAATATTATCAGTAATGAGTTTAGTCATAAAACAGTGCAGTAAAATCTACAAACCTAAAACTTGCTCACATTGCAGAGATATAAAAGCTAAACTCTGAACCTGTTTGCAGCAGTGGGTCATCCTGCAGCACCGGTCGCAGGAACTTTTCACCCTCCCAGGGTAAAGGGCCATCAGGCAGCCCCATCAGGCAGGACGGGCTGCATCTCTAAACATACAACACATTTATTCATCCTACTGCAGGAGCTGAGGGGGTACTTTATTACTGTTGGCATCTATAGGTATAAAAAAACATAAATATGTTTACCAGCACAAAGCAGAGTATTTAATGTTAATAATTTAATGACAGAACTTACTGTTGATCTGATGAAGTTGATCATTTTTATATAACCATAGTCATCTAAACCTGAAGAGAGACAGAAAGATGAAGAAACCCAGAAGGAAACAAACTGTCTGGTTGTTCCCAGCTGTGAGAGACTTACGGTGTTTTCTCACTACGTTTACGAGGTCCAGCTGGTGCTCAGCTGTGCAGTGCTGCAGGACGGCAGGTACACAGTTCAACAACCTAAACAACAACAACAACAACAACAAATGGTTGGAAAACACATTTACAGTAGTCCCTCGTTTATCACGGGTGTTTGGCACCATACCCCGCTGAAACAAGTAAAAAAAACACAAAGTAGGGATACAGTAGTCTAAGTTCAAGTTCAGTAAATTTTATTGTTATTACCATCTCAAGTGCTACATGAGATGGAACAAAATTATGTACACAAGTAGTAGTACCGTATTTTTCGCCCTATGTCGCGTTTCTTTGCATAATTTGCATGTCCTGCAACTCATAGGCCGAAGCGACATATTTATGGATTTTCCCTCATTTATAAACCAACTTTTGGCTGAGATATGACTCTTTTCATTCATTCTGACTGAAAATACGGAACACTACCATTTTCAGCCTCTAGATGGCACTTGAGCAGTATGGCATACCGTTGTGTCATGTAATAGATAAAAGTCACTATTAATGATATAATCGGCTTGTCATAGACTGCCAGCTTCGTTCTGCTCGCTGCTTGGAGCAACTGTCAAATCAGCTGCATTTCGCTGCGCCGCCCCGGCTAAATGCAGCTGATTTGACCATTGAAGTGCATTTTTTAAGTCAAAGTTTCACTGAGACACACCTTTGCTATAATGTCGAGCTAACAAATAATTGTTTTAGGTGCTTCTCTTGTTAAATTTCTTGTTAAAGTCCTCCCGTGCACGCTCCCGCGGCCGCCATCAGTCGATTTTTGGCACAACACCGGCCCACATTTCCAGGTTGTCAGCGGTGACGTGTAATAGATGCGACTTATACAGTGAAGCAACGTATTTATGGATTTTTCCACTTTATTAGACAAATATGGACCGATGTGGCTGATAGGGCGGTGCAATGTTTACAGCGGAAAATACGGTAGTAGTAGTAAGTACTGGTAGTAGTTTATTTTAGGATGTATATACAGGTACAGTATTTATTAATGCATTTTAAACCCTTTCCACACTCTTGCAATGTCCCTAACAATTCTCTAAACGCTCTAAAAGAGCACAGCCTGTCATGATCTCAGCTCTCTGCCTCTGGCTGCTCTCTACCATCTGCCAGCGATCTCGGCCACGCCCACTTCTCCACTGCAGAGCGGAGATCTGACAGGCTGCAGTAAGACACTTCTCCTGCAAACTGTGGGATGCACACAGGTGCAGCAGGTGCTAAAATAATTTATTTTAAATAAAAATTCCATGACGATCATGCTGCTCATCCAACAATCAGCCAATCGTGTGTCATGTCCAATCTTATTTGGAAAAACGGCGATAGAGCGAGTCTGTGAAAAATGAACCGCGATATAGCTGCTACTGTAATTACTAAACGGATTTTCTGATTTGTTGTGCAGAAATGATTAAAAACAGTTAAGTGAGCTGTAATTCACATATTCACAAGAACATCCACAGCTGAACACTGAAGTGTGCAGCAGTTAGACGCAGCTAACGAAAAGATGCGAGTTTGACGGGAGGATGTTTGGATTAATGCTTTGCAGCTTTTGAACTAGGAATGAAGCGATGGAAATATCCGACCTGGTTGGAGTAAAGTGAGAGTTCAGCAGCTGAACGTCAGCCTGGATGCACAAATAAAGCATCAGAAGAGGTTTGAAGATGAATCTACAGAGTAAGTGTTTTACAGCCTTTTCAATCACCAACACACAATGATGCAATCCTGAACATTTTCAGGATGAGCAACCAAAGCACAAGACTTTATTACTGTGTGCTGACAGCAAGCCTTTTACAACAACAAATACACTCAACTATGTTACAAAATAGATATTTAAACTTCATAATGGGTGGAATTAGTTTGTCTTCACAAACTAATTTTGTTTTGCTGAAAAGATGACTGTTGATTTCCATGTTTGTGTGAGACCGAGCTGTAGCTTCTAGAAGTTTCCTTCAAATTAAATTTTGCTGCAGCAGATTATTTCATAATGTTCTGCACGCCCATGTTGCGTTGCGTATTATTTACTTAAAGGTTGTGGGTGCAGGCCGTGCAGCTGGTGCTTTGGTGCTGCGTCAACAACTTACAGCTGAACATGTCCAAGAATGGAGACAGTGGTCTTCAAGAGACACCCCCCATCACTGCTCCACCTCACCATATCCAGCTGCCCTTTGTCGTCCTTCAAGTTTCTAGGAATGGCTCTCTCTCAAGACTTTACATGGGAGTGCAATATTTCCATTCTCAAGAAGCTCCAGCAGAGGATGTTCCTGTGTCAACTGAGGAAGAATGGACTGCAGCAGGAGCTGCTCATCCGGTCCAACAGATATTCAAACAGTCCTGAGCTCCTCCGTCACAGTGAGGTTCAGAGCTGACACCGAGCAGGACAGGAGCAGACTGTAACAAACTGTGAGGACAACACAAACACTGTGCTCATCTGCCCTCCATCAGGACCAGGAAACAGACAAAATCACCTCCTATGGGCGGCTGTGGCTGACTGGTTACAGCAGTCATCCTCCAGTGGGAGAGTTGGGGGTTTGATTCCACCAGCAGTCACATGCTGAAGTGTCCCTGGGCAAGGCACTAAACCCCTCACTGCCTCTGATGTGTGTCCCATCAGTGTATGAATGTGATCTACAGCTCTGATTAGTCTCTACAGATGCAGATTATCTTTGCAGCGATAGAGAGCTCTATGAATGTGTGCATAAGGACACAGATTGTAAAGAGCTTTGAGTATCTTGATCAGATAGAAAGGTGATATATAAGTACAGTCCATTTACCATTCACCTGATCCCTCACACCCTGGCAGGATGTACAGACGTCTGCAGACCACAACTAGATGCCACATGAAACTTTAAGTTTCTATGTATTACTTCATGCTGCATGTTGTCTGCATGTAATGGCCTCAGCACAGCACACTGCGTGTTTACTGTCTGACATCAGTAACACGTGTGTAAATGATGAGGGGGTGAATGCTGACCAGTTTAAATCCCAGCAGGGCTCTCACCTGTCACAGAACAGACAGGTAACTGGTTGACTGTCCTCCTCCGTCCACTGCCACTGCTCTTCATCATCCATATCTTCTTCATCAGACAGCTCAGGCATCCGTTCAGCAGTTCCATCACCGTCTGGAAAACAAATGACCCGGTAAGCACTTACTATACTAACTTCTGCCTGTAGACAGCTCTGTAGACATCACTGGGACGCTAGCAGCGGTGCTGCTAACGCGTCGTTTACTGCAACTAAACGAAGTTTATTGACAAACACGCAACTCTGAGAACGTTTAGGTCTTATACATGTCAAGGCTGCAGTTTAAAGGCTTTGTTTAGCTGTTTCGATACTCACGTGCGTCTGTGTATTCTGCCATGTTGTCGCCTCGGCTGCAGAAGACTTCCTGTTGGGTTTGGTGACGTCACGACGCGGAGGGGTGCGCTTCTAAATCACGACCACTAGATGTCGCTAAAAGCCTTTCGTGATGTCCGTCTATGTCGGGTCTGCGACCTTTACCATCGAAACTCAATAGCTGTGTCCCCATAGATATGTGTGTCCCAGTCCAGCTTGGACACAGCTTGTCCAGCTATGTGTCAAAGATCAACTGGTGGCCCACGGGACTTTTTGAGTTGGTTGGATGGGAAATGGGAGGAGACATTATAAAGCTGAAAATATATGATGAGGTTTAACACTTATTGATATTTTTTACATTTTAGGACAAAGTTAAAGACCATATCTTTGTAAATAAGGAAAATATAAAGTCTTTACTAATTTTGATTAAAAAAAACCTTAAAACTATGAACTATGCCTGTGTATGCAAGTCCTCTTTGTGTTTGTGGAAAAATCAAGTATCCTAATTGAAGATAATAAATCATAATGTTAAAGAAAACAAAAATTAAACCTGTATGTTGAATTCATAAATGTGATTTAATTAACTGTTAAATATAAACAAATACTTTGACTTTAATTAGGTTTATTCATGAAAACTTTGGTCAAAGCTGCAAAGATCCCCTGAAGAGACACCAAAGAGCCGCATGTGGCCCGAGAGTCCATCACAGGGACACCTAGGGACAATTTAGAGTTACCAATCAGTCTAACATGCATGTTTTTGGTAAGTAGAAGGAAACTGGAGTACCTGGAGAAAACCCACACATGCACAGAGAGAACATGCAAACACCACCCAGAAAGATCCCCAGGCAGAATTTGAACCTAAGAGGAGGCAGCTCTACCAGCTGCACCACCGTGCTGCCCTCTCCAGAGACATTTTGTTTGTATAAATAAAAACTAATCATTATTGTTTGCACCTTTTGTGGTGTTCTGTAAATACAAGTGTAAATGACTGTAAAACCGAGAAAACAAAGCACCTGACTGAAACTTGGCTTCAGTTCGTTTTAAACTTGCATGTGGGTCTGCACAAACATGACTTTCAGTGTATCCACTGGTCAGCCACAAGAGGGCGCTGCTACCTCAGTGAGGACAGGAAACACCATTTCTGTTGAGATCATTAGAAAAAATAAAAGATAAACTGAAAATAGAGACAAAAACTATTAGAGCAGATATATTCATTATTGTCTTGTAGTGAGATCGTAGTCTGTTTCTTTCACCATTTTTTTATTTCTCCATGAACCCACTTTACAGTTCAAACATGTAAGCCTCCGTTTACCTTCAGAAGCATGTAAACAAAAAGGTTTCATGACATCGGCATCATAAAAGAATACCAATATATCATATTTATAGCACAGGAGCTGTGTTTAAAGTACAATCAACAGATAATCTCAGAGACAATTTACACACACACACACACACACACACACACACACACACAATTAATTTGTAACAAGTTTGTTATAGGCATGTCTAAAAATAGCATTTGTCTTAAGGCATTGGTTTATTGTGTCAAAGTACAAATAATTAAAACTAAAAAGGCTACAAAGCTTCCCTGATGAAAAATTTTCAACGTTCCTTAAACATGTTTAATTTTAATGAACATTTTAAATAAAGATCCTTTGGATTTAGCCATAAATACATGAATGTCCAATATCAAGCACTGTAAAAACATTCTGAAGTGATGACGACTGTAATATGTTGTCCTCTTTACATATCTGCAATAATCACGTGGAATTATGTTAACTATTTGGTTCAGACTATTTTAAGTTTAGTCTGGACATTGTACAACGTTAGTGTTTATTCTCACATCTGGCATTTGCCAAATAATGATATAAAGAATAAACATCTTAGATGCAGATGATATTATTTGTGTCATTGGTGCCCTTTCAACACTATTTTATGAATCAGTGTTTTTTCCTATGCTCCTTTATTTCCCCTTACTTAATCCCACACTGGTAATATCTTTGTTCTCCAGGACCTCGGTCTTCTGCTCAGGCTGACGCAGAGTGTTGGACACAATCGCTTTCGCCACCACTTGGATTGGGATGGCCATGGAAGTTGAACAGACGGCAGAGACGGCACCGAAGAACTTCCGAATAACCCACTCGCCAGGTCGACTCTCCCGTCGGTCCACCAACAAAACCCTGTTTGAGAACAAGACACAGATACGAGATAATGTTGGGCTCAGCCAGGTTCTTTAATCATAATAATAAAAATGTTGCACAGCTAGTTTAACTTCGTTTGACTCCCATGTCAATAAGTGTCATGCCTTGAGGAGAGCAGAATAATCAATGTGTCATACTGTTAATGTTCAGCAAGTGCACTTGATCCAGAAATAATTAAATGTTAAAATCAACGACGACTGCACGATTTTATTTAGGTTAAAATAGTTTTGAAGAAGTGACAAAGACTTTTGTTTTCAGAATAAATGTACATAAATCTTCCCGAGAGCTTATTTCCAGGTACATCTGAGCAAACATTTTGCAGTGGTCAACTTGATGGGATAGAATTTTGATTACAATTTTGTTATTGTTCTTTAGTCTGTATCAATTTAAATGTCAAAAATTAAGAAAATGTGACACTCACCCTGGTCTGTAAATGGCCAATCTGTCAAATCCAAGTGCCTCGATTTCTGCTTCCACTTGGCCCTAGGGGAAAAAAAAAATCCATTCAAGGGGACAAAAACACAGAAGCTCAGTTGGAAAAGTATTTCAGTTTAGCATGCAGGGCAGAACGTGTTGTGGAGGCTGTAACGTGAACTTTATCACAGCAAATGTGCCATTACACCAAACACCATTACAAAATACAACGCTGTCTTGCATCTGCTGTCATTTTCTTTAGCGCAGTCTCTTCTGTCTCACGCTGTCATGGTAGCGCCCTTCAGTGACAAGAAATAATAGCAAGAGAACATAAATGCATTAACTGTGTAAAGCTAAGAAGTGTGAACACACATCATGTTACCCAAACAAATATTTTCCTTTGAAGCAAACATAGTATTGTGATCCATAACAATGTATCCACCGTGGAAAACACACTCAACAAAAATAAAAATGCAACACTTTAGTTTTTGCTCTCATTTTTCATGAGCTGAACTCAAAGAAAACACAGGTGAGTCTTAGGCTGACCACAATAAAAGGCCACTCTAAAATGTGCAGTTTTATCACACAGCACAATGCTGAAGAAGTTTTCTGTACAACTGGCACGCTGACTGCAGGAATGTCCACCGGAGCTGTTGCCCGTAAATTCAATGTTCATTTCTCGACCATAAGTCGTCTCCAAAGGTGTGAGTTTGTCAGAACATCCAACCAGCCTCACAACCGCAGACCACGTGTAACCAGAACCTCCACATCCAAGATCGTCTGAGAGCAGCCACCCAACAGCTGCTGCCACAATCTGTTCGCATAACTCACAAATTTCTGCACAAACTGTCAGAAACCGTCTCGGGGAAGTTCATCTGCATGCTCGTCTTCCTCGTCAGGGTCTCCACCTGACTGCGCTTCGTCGTCGTAACAGATTTTAGTCGGTAAATGTTCACATTCGATGGTGTACGTCACGTTAAAGAGGTGTTCTCTTCATGGATGAATCCAGGTTTTCACTGTACGGACAGATGACAGACAGCATGGTGTTGTGTGGGGGAGCTGTTTGTTGACGTCATCGTTGTGAATCCAGTGGCCCATGGTGGTGGGGGGGTTATGGTACGGGCAGGTGCATGTTATGGACAACAAACAGGTGCATTTTATGATGTCATTTTGAATGTACAGATGTCGTGATGAGATCCTGAGGCCCAGTGTTGTCCCATCCGTCCACAAACATCACCTCATGTTGCAGCATGATAATGCACGCTTCTTCAAAACTTGTGACATCTGTGGCATTGTCTGCCGTGATAAAACTGCTAATTTTAGAGTGGCCTTTTATTGTGGTCAGCCTAAGGCACAGCAGTGCAATAATCATGTTGTCTAATCAGCACCTTGATATGCCACACCAGTGAGGTGCGTTTATTTGAGAGAAAAAGGCCAATGTGAAAAAGTCTTAGATCTTTGAGTTCAGCTCATGAAAAATGGAAGAAAAAATAAAAGTGTTGCGTTTATATTTTTGTTCAGTGTTACATTTTGTCAAGCATTTTTTTTTTTCAGAAAATAGCTGTAAAGTAAAATAAAGTGTCGGCAATTTACCTTTAAACTATTCAGTCGGCAAAAGTGCTAACAAATGCACATGAGGTGTTTTTTTTTTTTAAAAAAACTAAAATGTACGATGGAAGTTAGCTCAATATTACAAGACTTTTGCTCACATTCTTTCCCTTTTTTGTAACCTTTTAAAAAACAAAACAAATTATTTCATCACATACATTTTAGGATAGGTTGGTGCACGTCTTTATCGTTGAATAACAATTTATTTTGGTGTCTGGCGGGTTCCTCTGCTCTATCAGTTCTTGGTGTTTCACGTGAGCAAAGTGAAAGTTGTGCTGCATTGCATCTTTTCCCATCATTAACAATGAACTAGTCTGCTGCTCTATACTGACAAATGATCCATGTCCCGAGCCTCTCCTTTTCTCAGATGAAAATAATCCCCCCCCACCCCCGACACACGCACCTCACCCACATGCTCCCCCAGGCGCCCTTGCATGGGGGAGCTCTGTGATCGGTGGACGCGTCAAGCAGGACTGATGTAAAAACAATTGCCAAACCTTCATGCAAGTTCTCTCACTGTGGTGACCCCTAAAAGAAGGAGCAGCCAAAATAAAAATAAAAAATGGTTGCACTGTCCATTGTCCGTGGTGTTGCTCGGAGGAACTGGAAAGGGGATTAACCAGTTGTGGCATGAGGTAAAGCCTGATGAAGCATTTGAGTCGCTGCAGGCTTCAGGGTCATTGGGTACTGGTTTGCCTGAGGATGATGAACTCTTGTTCTTTATGCCATGCTCACTCATTAATTAAATGTAAAAAACCTGACATTAACCGGGGTCCATTATTGATTGGTGTTAAATGTGATGGTGCAGTTAAAGCTCTGAGCTCGGCTCACCACATCGCAGATCACTGTAGCCAGTTTTGCTGTGGCAGTTGAAGCGAGACGGGACGACGGTTAACCTCACTACCTGTACAACATTACACCAGAGCTCTGTACAGATCACACTCTTGACTCTTCTGTCCTGTGACGTCATAGTCGCGCAGTAGTGACAAGACATAATGAAAGCAAGAGAACAAAACAAATGCAGTCACTGTGTAAACCTAAGCACACAACAGAAAGGGAGTCAACTACCTTGACTTTGAGGTAGAGGAAGTTGCTGTTTTTGTCTGCTCCTCTTGAGGACTCCAGGTGGAAGTGAGCGCAGCCTCCAGCCTTGGCCAGTTCAGCAGATTTCAGCACGTAGTCATGATCCACTCGGACGAATCCATCCTGATGATTAGAGGACCCAAACATTACTGCTGTGACACTTTGTTACTAGTAACCTGCTGTCACATCATGTCGTTTGTTTCCATTTTTTCAAAAGAAACTCAGAATAAATCATACTTTTGCACCAACGTGATGATCTACAGTTAAATACTACCAATAATGTGGTATATCTTGTGGTGTACGGTGTTTTCAAAAGTTTAAGAAACTACTTTATTTTTTTTGCTAAACTTGACACACAACCAGAGAGATGTTAATCGTTTTCCCCAGTTAATTGCTGTTTGAGATCCTCTCTCTATATCTATATCTATAATGTGTGATAAACTGATGTTTTGTTTTTTGTAGAAGCAGCTCGAGATATTTGAGCAGTCTACACGACACCCTGCTAATAAAAATAGTAAAACATTCAAACTAAACTTGACTTTTGAATATGGGCACATTTGTGTCTTACTCCATAATATAATATATATTTTATGGTACTACTTCATTCTTGAATGATTCAAAGTTTAGTGTTAAGAGGTCTAACAAAAAACAAATAAATACAATAAATTAATTAATAATAATAATCAGGTACCAATGACTTCATTTGAAAAGATGTCAAATAAAGCAACCATTGTTTGAAAAATACTTTGGAAAAAGACTACACTTAGTTCTCAAGACCACTTCACAAAGTATAGAACTATTTTAAAGCAAAATATAAATAAGGAGTGTAACGTAGAGGCACGACTAATCATCATCAATAAACCCACCCCTAACACATCCCTCAATTATCTTTACTGCTTCTTCCTTTTTGGGTCACAAGGACATCCAGCAGTTACTGTGTGCGAGGCGGGGGACATCCTGGACAGGTCTCCAGTCCATCACAGGGACACATAAGAGACAAAATGAGACAAACAACCATTCACTCTCTCACTCACACCTAGGGACAATTTAGAGTTACCAATCAGTCTAACATGCATGTTTTTGGTCTGCAGGAGGAAACCGAAGCAACCGGAAGAAACCACGCATGCACGGAGAGAACATGCACACTCCGCCCAGAAAGGCCCCGGTCAGGATTTGATCCGGCGACCTTCTCGCTGAGAGACAAAAGCTCTACCGACTGAGTCACTGCGCCGCCACCCGTAAGACAACAGGAAATATATATATTAACGTGATTAAATTCTCACTCAATTTACTTACAGCTCCTGCTTTGGCTCTGGTTGTTCCCAGACAGCAGTAGCCCACATCATGACCCTTGAAGGCGGCAGCGTGGTCATCAAGCTTTTCAAAGTCAACCACCTCCTGTACCTGTAGACCAAAACAAAAAGTCTCCAGTAAAATGCAATGAGTTACTTCCTGCGAAGGGTGCACCGAGACACTAACCAGGTTTTTATACGCTTCGTCTTCAAAGCTCAGCCGCCTCCGTCCGATGAGGGTAATCTTGGAGAAGATGTTTCGCTCCAGCAGCTCCTGAAGCAGCACCCTGCCCGTTTCCCCTGAAGCACCCAGAACGAAGCAGGTCTTGTTCTGCTGCCTGAACGTTTCCTCCAGGTTCTTCAAGTCCTCTGCCATGCTGCGAAACAGATAAAGGAGGTAGACATGTTGGCACCGCGCGTGTGTGTAGGTAAAGCCAGAATTAAGCTCTGTGTATTCCAATACGTCTTAAAATAATAAGCCATCAAACTTTGTTTACCATATGAATAATGGACATGAAATGTTAAAGATCTAGGTGAGTTTTTTGAAGAAAATACAAACAATGCAGATATTCTACATAATGTGCTGATGTGACTAAAAATGCCTGCATCAGTTTAGCTTCATCATTGCATTTAGCCCAAAGCGTTGACAAATCCACAAAATGTGAGGAATGTATTGACTTGTGTGTTCATTTAACACAGCTCGTTGTTGCTTACCTCGTGTATTTCACTGAAGGACTGTCGTCGAAATAATTAAAGACCGCAGCAATGATTAGAATGATGACAGCTAAAAGCCAGGTCGCTTCTCCCAGGCTGGTGCCGAGGACTTTCATAACACACCTGTGGGAGAACAGCCATACAGCTGCTGGCACTTCCTGGTTGCTTCACCAGGAAGCTGTCATCCTGATTCGTGGGCCAGCCGGACTACAACAAAAACACAAATGATCGTCACCGTAACATTTCGTACTACACGACTTAAAGATAGATCATATAAATTATGCTATAAATGTAAAAACAACTAAACTTGATGATTTTTTTTTTTATTCCAACCTCGATTTCTGTCATTCAATTGACCAAATTAGCGCTGCTGTATAGACAATGACGCATGCGCACTGGCTTTGCAGGATGCAACGCTGTCCTCCATCCATAAACTAATCCGCACAAGAAAATAGTCCTGCTCCGACCTGTTTACAGTTTGTTTATGTTTCGTGTTCATTTCAAAAAGCCCCTCATGTGAAATGAGTTTTCACACGTGCTTTAAATGAAACCTCCTAGTGTTTGTTAATGCTATAATATCTTCAGTGTTTAACACCAATCCATTTAAGAAGTGACACAAAATCCCTCCAGCTAGTGAATTAATTAGGCTTATTTGACTGCAGTAATGGTGGCAGGTAACTAACTAAATTGCAAACATTTTTTTAAACAATTTGGAATCAGAATTTGTAAGTTCTCCTCCAGAGGCAGAAACAATACATTTATTAAAAATCCATAAAAATGTATTTTCTTTGTATGGATGTTCCCTTGTCGGATACACCACAGCAGATCATCTGCTTCCATCTTACTCTGTCTCCCTCCAGCACCCCCTCTGTGCATCCTTCTTCTCTACAGGATCCTTCTCTGTGATCTTCGTCTACTTATCTGGATAGTAAACTGTGACAAAACGGTGAGTCAACATAATCTGCTCCTTAGATAAATAACATTACTAATTGACTTTTATGTACTGTATGTGATGGGGTTTTTCTTCAGTGCCCTGAGATACAGTAACTTCTGTTGTGACTTGGTTCTATATAAATAAACTGAATTCCTCCCTGACAGCTCCATTCAACTTTGGCCATTATATCCACTTCCCCCCTCTCCATTTGTCCAAAGCATCTCGGCCTTGTGTCTATAACTTTGTTTTCAAACCTAAACTGTCAGTCAAATTAAACACAACTCTAATCATGTTCATTTTGGTCACTTATTTTTCTTCTTTCATTTGTTTCCTCTTCAGGGGTCACCACAGCGAGTCATTCTCCTCCATCTCTTTCTGTCCTCACTCCAACCACCTCCATGTCCACTCTAACTGCATCCATATATCTTCCTCTTTGTCTTTTTCCTGGCAGCTGCATTTCTAACATCCTTCTACCAATATACCCACTGTCCCTCCTCTGGACATGTCCAAACCATCTCAGTCTGGTCTCTCTAACTTTATCTCCCAGTTGTTCAGCCTGTGCTGTACCTCTGATTATCTCGTTCCTAATCTTATCCATCTTTGTCACTCCTAAAAAGAACCTCAACATTTTCATTTCTACCACTTCCAGTTTTGTCTCCTGTCTTTTTGTCCATGCCTCTGTCTCCAGACCATACAACATAGCTGGTCTCACCACTATCCTGTAAACTTTTCCTTTGACCTTTGCTGACACCTTTTTGTCACAAATCACTCCTGAAACTTTTCTCCATCCACTCCATCCTGCCTAGACTCTCTTTTTAACCTCTTTACCACACTCCCCATTTTCCTGGGCAGTGGACCCCAAGTTCTTGAAGTCCTGCACCTTTGTGACCTCTGCTCCTTGTAGCCTCACTCTTCCACCTGTCTCCCTCTCATTCACACACATGTACTCTGTCTTACTACGGCTGACTTTCATTCCTCTTCTTTCAAGTGCATACCTCCACCTCTCCAAGTTCTCTTCTACCTGTTCCCTGTTCTCACCACAGATCACAATGCCATCTGCAAACATCATAGTTCATGGGGATTCATGCCTGACCTAATCTGTTAGTAAGTCCATCACCAGAGCAAACAAGAAGGGGCTCAGAGCTGGTCCTTGATGCACTCCCACCTCCACCTTGAAGCTTCTAAACAAAATGCAGTTTACCTGCGTAATCCTGCCTCCACTCTTATTGGTCACACTATTTTGTATATTCCCATTGGAAATATTAACATCTTAGTCTCCTTCAGCTTCTCCTCCTGTCTTTATGTTAGAACCACTATCTCCAAACCACACATCATAGCAGGATTTATTGCCATCTTGTAAACCTTCCTTTTCACTCTTGCAACTATTTTTCCATCACCAATCAACTCCTGACATTCATCTCCATCCACTCTGCCTGCCTGTGCTCTCTTCTTCACCTCTCTTGTGCACTGCCCTTTGTTTTGGATGGTTTTCCTCAGGTATTTGAACTCGACTCCTCGCAGCTTCACAGTATTTTCTTTATAACACCAGTAATTACAATTTCTTATTTCAAATGCTGTGACAAAGGCACTCTCTTTAAGCTGCTGTTAAAAACTAAACACTTTTTTTATGCAAGGATTCAAGGTTCTTTATTTGTCATACATGTACATGTGGTGGAACGAAATTGTGTACACAGGGTCCCAGTTACATCCAACAAAAGTATACAATGTAAAAAAAAAAAAACTGAAATAAGAGCTAAGATATGAACAAAGAAAAACATTAACTAAAAATATACTAAGCACTAATAGTATAAAAACAATACGCCGAACAGCAGCACCAACATGAGTCTGTGTGAACAGATGAGTATGTATGAACACAGCAAGATGAAAGATCAGCAGCATCATGAAACAGATCAGCAGCAACATGAAACAGATCAGCAGCAACATGATGTGATTTTTCAGTGATTATTCTGGAATTAAAGATTCATGAGTCTAACAGCCTCAGGATAGAAGTTTTTCCTCAGTCTAGTAGTTCTACACTTAACGCTACTTAACCTCCTTCCTGAGGGGAGCGGGGCAAAAAGTGTGTGTGCTGGGTGAGTGGGGTCCTTCATGATGCAGATGGCCCTCTTTCTGCATCTGGAGGTGTAAATGTCTGTGATAGTGTGGAGGCTGACTCCAACAGACTTCTTCTTCTTATCTGTTGCTTAACAATAAAATTGAGATGATGCTTTCATTAAAACACATTTAGCCAAAACCTCAACCATCAGTTTTCTGTGGCTATGCAATGCTGTATTTAGCATGACTTTCAAGTCTTCTGGAAAATAGGCCAAAGTATGGTTGACATCCGAAAATCAAACTAAAACAAAAAAGAAAACAAACCAGAGTTAGTTTCTAAAGTTTAATATTTTGTTGATTATGGACTAGAACAGCTCCTCTTCACTGCAATATCTTTGGACATGGGGAAATTAATTTAATAACATTTTATACTGTGAACCTTTCAAAATACGTCTTAACAGGAATTTAATAACTTACACCTATCTGCTCATTGGCATATGCACGTCTAAAAACTTTTTTAGGAGGTAACAATGGTTACAAATGCTATATTTACTGTTTGTTAAATTCATTGTTATCAATCAGGATATTCCCAGCAGTTTTCAAGTAACTGAAAGCCATTTATTCACGACTAGTTAACTGGTAAAATATCATCTAAATGTCCAATAATTTAAATATTTGTTAAACTCCAAATCAGCATGTTCATTTCTCATTATGAGGCGATGCATGAGATATTATTTTTCATTTTTTTATTTACCCTTTATTTATACAGGTAGTCTCATGAGCCACGAGAACTCATTTTCAAGAGAGACCTTAACGTCTTTATACTACTTTATACTGCTATATTAACGCCTATATACTGCTTAACGAGTGTGTCAGTGTTTCTGAACAAATTTCTATGTTTTAATGGTCATCTTATGTCATTAGTTGATGTCTGCAGCCTCACTGTCCAAATGTCTGAGACCAGCAATGTATGTGGAAACTTTCTTTTAAGACGAACCGTTGCTTTTAAGCAGGATTAGACTATTTCAAGCTCAGACATTAGACTGCTCTCCCTCAGTACTCTCCTTTTTCCCAGATGGATTTATTCAATTCAATTCAAAAATACTTTATTAATCCCAATGGGAAATTAAATGTTGTAACTCGTTATCCTCGTTTCATTAAGATATATTATAAATACTGATGGCTGTAGGCAGGAAGGATCTCTTGTAAAAGTTCGTCCCACAGAGGATCTGAAGAAACTGTCCGCAGATGCCCTCTGTTCGGTCCACCCAGACTCGGCTGGCCTCTCTGTTCCTCCGGGCTGTAGGATCGCCTGAATGCCGGGCAGAACTTCTCCCAGAGCGATGCCCACTCCTCCCAACAGCCTGCCGAGCTTCTTGTCGCTGCAGACAGCCGGCTGCAGGTGTCAGGAAATGATCCCATCCTTCTGTTGTCACGAGCCGTGTTTTCTGCCAGTTCCAGGATCTCAGTGGTCAGTCACTCGAGGACAGCCAGCAGGGAGACAGGAATGCATGTCGCCTCCTTTTCAACTCATTTGAGATTTGGGGCTGTAGCTGAGATATTATTTGAGCTTTTGAGATGTTAATTAGCTGCTCCTGGTTGTAAAAAAAACATCTTATTGTTATGGTTACGCGTGTGGCCCAGCTGATGGTGCAATTCTGCACGGCCATCATCGAGTCCATCCTCTGCTCCTCCATCACAGTGTGGTACGCCGGGGCCACTGCCAGGGACAAACACAGACTGCAGCGCGTTGTGCACTCTGCTGAGAAGGTGATCAGCTGTAGCCTCCCATCTGTCCATGACCTGTACGTCTCCAGGACGGTGGGGCGAGCAGGTCGGATTACAGCTAACCCGTCTCACCCTGCATATGAACTCTTTGAACCACTCCCCTTGGGCAGGAGGCTTCGGTCCATTCGGACCAGAACCTCCCGCCATAAGAACAGTTTCTTCCCCTCTGCCGTTGGACTCTTGAACACTCATAATCCCATTACTGTATAACTCAGCTTTGGTCACTTTATCACCATATTTTAACTGCACTACTCCATTTGCACATTTTTTTTCTGAGTATTGTATTGTATTATATTGTATTCTATTGTATTGTATTGTATTGTATTGTATTGTATTGTATTGTATCATATTGTATTGTATTGTATTGGTC